TTTTTTTTTTTTTTTTTTTTTTTTTGGCTTGGACCTTCGCTGGTCCTTGCACGGCCGGGCCGCCTGGGAAAATAGGGTGACCCGGGCGGCCCGGCTGGTAGCCTAGCTTACTTTATAATAAAAAGTTTATATGTTTCCATTTGCTAACTTTCCAAATCGATTTTTTTGCATTTATGTCTTCTAAACGCTTTTTAAAAGTTTTTTATAAACAATTAGGATTAGACTGATTAGTTGGTAATATATATACTAAAAGTATCAAGAAATTAGTGTCTAATCTAAGGGTTGCTAGAAAGTTCTCATATATTTCCAGAAAATTTGAGAAAAACTTGAAAATGGAGTTGCCCTATATTTCTAGAAAACAGAAGTTCTGTGTTTCCAGACGCCCTGTCTTCTGGTCATAGGTGCTGCTTATACTGCAACTTGATCATCCTCCCTGTGTTTTGATCTCCAACCTGGCTTGCTCCACTATGTGACCATGTTGTTTGCTGATCGATCGGATGACGGTCGGGCCTGCATGGCACCATCATTGACTTTCATTAAATTGCATGCTATCATTGCTATGCAGCTATTTTTATCCCAATTCTTCATTCCCATCTATGAGAAGCAGTAGCATGTGTCAATGTGTCATACATAACCAGTAACATCTGAGAATAAATAGGGAAATATTCAAATAAGAGCATAATGATGTTCGCGCCGGGGCAACGCTATCGAACCACACTTGATGAACTGCTCGACCAAGGACGGCAGTGTGCAGTAAGTCTTCTTCCTGTTGCATGCGTGCTTCATGCCCCGTGCGCGACAACATGATTGACATGATCCAGTGTGGATATGTCGTGGCTTTGCATTACTTTTTTTGCTCGTTCGGGATTATGTCTTACTTCGGATTTCCCATCGAGTGGTTCAACCCCACTGTTCGATAGACCCTACTTTGTCAAATCTGATTTGATACCCAGCCTGCCCCTCCCAACATGAATGGGTTGGTCCTACTGGTGGTGTGCAAGCTGAGGAGGGCGCAGGTAACTTCAGATCCATGATGATATCTTTAGGTTTGTTGTTTGGCCACTAAGTCCATTTACGTCCCAGTTTCAGATGATAATTTCAGACAGTTCATCCCCTTCTGGTGGGTTGGGTGAAAAATTGTGGCCTACATTTTGAATAGTATTGCCGGTACGAACGAGGGCCGTACACTTTGTATTCTAGGTACTGCTTTGATCTATGTGATTCCCATTGATGGCGTGGTTGGCCACGAGGTCAGCTCTGCTGGCGCTGACCTGGTCTCATCCATGCGGGCACTCTACTCTGGTATCGCATTGTCATTGACTGAGTCATCTGAGATTACTTGTCTTTGATTGACAGATTGGAGATTACTTCCGCGGCCTACTTTTCCATTTCATTCTCACAGAGGGTTTGTAAGTAGTCGATGCCGATGTGTAGCGGATTAGCTTTATCTTAGAGGGATGGACCCTCTGAAGAACCCGGACTGTCACATTTTTTTTTTTATTCTTAGGTTTTCCTGGGCAAGGTATGGGTGGTTTAATGGGAGAGAAATGAGTCAAGAGGCCATGAATTCAGCTGGACTCGATGGCCCACGAGGACCCTGTGGAGAATGGACTCGATGGGGGGCACAGCGCATGTGTCAACACATGTATGACTTCCTTCCCTGCTGATTGTCCGCACCGATGCGTTCATTATCATTATTTAGCTTGCATCACACGGTATTTCGCTTGTTCCAGCATATAGCCATATTTTGCCTTTGATGCTGATACCCCTTTGTTGAGGAATTTTGCTTGTTCATGTTATTCAGATTTTTTTTTAAATTATAAAGTAAGCTGTATTCTACTATTCTTCTCTCATCTCTATCTCATCTTCTTGCCAGTACTCATCTACCTCATCTTCTTGCCAGTACTCATCTATCTCATCCTCTCGCTAGTCTATGTATAATACGGGGGAACACCAACCAAACCGGATCTCTCCCTAGTGCTTTTAGCTTCTAGCTAACCTTTTACAAGGCAAACCGGACTTGATCTTCTACTACAGAATCATGCCAATAAGATGACAAGATAACAAAAAAGTAAAAGTTGCAATCATGAAACGAAAAAATGTTTAAAAATCGTTGTATTCCACGACCTGGAAATCGTACCACCCTTTGATAGCTTGGTGATATTCAGCCCCTTTGGTAGCTTGGTGATATTCAGCCTGAAAGAGCATGGGTTGGTGTCTTCTGTCTCTCTGTCACTGCTGGCTGGTGCCTTCTGGTGACAAATGCCTGTTTGGTGATCAGTCAGGTCGCTACTGTCTTCCCCCAAATTCAATGTACTATCATTATACCTGTATTTGGGCCAGTTTCCAGTCTAGGTAAAGGAATATAATGACCGCACATTCTATTTGGGGGAAGACAGTAGTCTCAGAACCCCTAGAATAGAATACATCTGCAGTTTTCTCTCAGTTTGGAAGACTGGCGTCTTCCCCCAAGTGTAATGTACGGTCATTATGCCTGTATTTAGGCCAGTTTCCAGTCTAGATACAGGGATAATGACTGTACGTTCTAGTCGGGGAAGATGATAGTCTCAAACCCCCCAGAATGAAATACATCTGCAATTTTCTCGGAGTTTGGAAGACCGGTGTTGTGGTCATCCTCCATCTTCAGGAATAGCAAAGATATGTATTATGTCCATAGCAACCTGCCATTCCTTCTCTTTCATGACGAAGCAAGCTGTCACTAAAGGTCTGACTCCTATCAGTGTCCTCTTGGTGGAAACTTCTGTCTCGATCACATGTGAAGGCTTCCCCCCTGCAGTGACAATAGGTCTAGTGCGTAAGCTCTGTTCAGTTTCCTCCTCCTGTCTATATGGGCTGCAACTACTGCTATTTCTCTTTTTCTAAGTTCTCCTTGATGTTATTCCGGGGGAATGATTCTCTCCCTTGCTTTCCAGTGCTTTCTATTTTTTTTGTTCGTAATACAGTTAGAGAATCTCTCTCTCTCTCCTACTTTGTTCGGATGTCATGATTTGCTCACCCACCCAAAAGGGCCTCCACATGGGAAGTTTAGTGGGTTTGCAGGGGTTGCAGTTGAAACGCACGGTGGCTAACAGGGGTTGTTGCAGGTGAAGGGCATTGGAACTTTGGAACAGGGAGCACCTTTTGAGGTCCAAGTGCAGCAAAAACAACAGGGGCGAACAACACGATTCTTTCTGTCTCTCTGTGACTCTGTACCTTCCCTCCGATGTCATGATCTGCTTGCCTTCACAGTTCAAAGCAGTTTTGCGAACGGATTTGTTGGCTCCTTGTGCTCAACACAAAGTCGTTGAAGACCTTGCACCTACCATTTCTTCTGAAACTTGCAACGGAAAAAGAATTGTGTGTTGGTTGTGGCAGGAAACAAACAAGTGTGAAAGGGCTTACTTAAATTTTCTGCTTATTTTCTTTACCAACTTTGAACTTTCCTATGGAGTGAGTGGTGCTTTAAGAAGTCGCACAATGCCGCAGCGTTGAGCAGATTCCCCAACTATAGTCTGTTTTTGCAAACTATAGTCAGCTTTTATGCAGGTAGTATTTGGACATGAGCTGATCAGGCTTGTCTTTTGTCAGGCAATGCATCCTGTACGTCTCTACGGGGTTCGTTTTGGAGAGCGCCATTCAATGGCAGACGCATTGGAGAGTGCCTCTCAGGAAGTTTTCAAAGTCATGGTAACCGTGAAGATTGGAATAGGCGGCTGAAGACTCTGCATTACGTTCCCCTCCAAGACAAGAATGTGGGCTCACTGTTTAGTCCACAATGTGCTAGTTGCAGCCTGGGAACACAGGCCTATAGGCCAGCAATGAGAGCACCCAGGCACCGAGGAACGGGGCAGGATGGTCATAGAATGGGTATTGTGACAAATGTTAGCTCTGTCGAGGAGGATGTTGCTACAGAGAATGAAGAGACTAGCGTAGAGGATCAGATGCCCAGGGCTATCTTGAAGAGGTTTCCAGCATTTCTCAGGTAAGATGCAGAAAACCTTTTGTACACATAGCTCGTAGCATGGACGTGGACTCACATATATGTTTGCAGTCTTATGCATGTTGTTACAGCCATTTCATTGGTGGGCCTGCTGTCAAAAGGGTGATATAGATGACTTTCTGCATCTTTTTATGGTGACCTCATTGTGTCTGAATGAACACGGGCACGGTTGGTTGCACTGACATGTCATTGCTTCCAGCTTTATGTGTATTGTTATAGCTAATTTATGGGGGAAGCTCTTTATCAAAGATTGACATGTAGGACTTTGTGTATGTCTGAATGGTGACACAATGAATACCGTCCACATACGGGCAATGGTTTTCAACAGCATGGATTTTTGTCCTTGGAAAGGGAGGGGACATATTATGATCACTGAGAGGGCTTCACAATTCAAACACTTGTACATATGGAGCACTGCAATATCTGTCTTGCATGGTGATGAGCCAATGGAGATTCCGTATATTGAAACGTTGGCAAAAGAAACTAAAATTCAATGATTTGTGAAAAGGTACGACCTTTGGGTGAAAGGTAGTAACTTTGGGTACATGAGAGGGTGAAAGGTGCTAAGGATTTGTGCTAAGGCACAACTTTGGGTAGATGAGAGGGTGAAAGGCGTTAAGGATTTGTGCAAAGGCACAACTTTGGGTAGATGAGAGGGCGAAAGGTGTTAAGGATTTGGCAAGAAAGGATTAAAGGTACTAACATACTACTCAATGGAGTTCAAAAAGGTACTAGCTTGGGGTGAAAGTTACTAGCTTTGGTAGGAATGGGTAAAATATACTATTGTAGCGTGCAATAAATTTTGGAAAAAGGTACTAACTTTGGGGACAATGTACTGACTTTGATAAGAGAGGGGGAAAGGTACTACCTTTGCCCAAACAAGATTACAATCCCACAGTTTCTGTTCCGTTTACCTCAATCACTGCAAGCCTTAAAACAGGCGGTGTACCTTTTTGTTCTGCAGGATGCCGCATGGTTACGCAGAGCAGGCATGCAACATCCTTCAGCGGAAACAGAGAAGAGGTAGCGGATGTGGAGAGAAGGGAGGATGAAAGGTACTAACTTACGAATAAGAAATGAAGTTTGAAAAGGTATTAGCTTTGGGTGAAAGTTACTAGCTTTGGTAGGAGACGGTGAAATATACTAAATGTAGGGCTCAATGATCTTTGGAAAGGTACTAACTTTGGGTGAAATGTACTAAACTTCGATAAGAGATGGGGAAAGGTACTACCTTTGGCCAAAGAAGCATTCAGTCCCACAATTTACCTCAGTCATTGCCGGCCCTAAAGCAGGTGATGTGCCCTTTTGTTCTGCAGGATGCCACATTGTAACCCAGAGCAGGCATGCAACATCCTATGGCGGAGACAGAGAAGGGGTAGTGGATATGGAGAGGAAGGAGAGGGAGAAGGGAGATTGCAAAGGGTGGTGGCCAGGAGAGCAGAGGGTTGCCAGTATCTCAAGGCATCTTGTCTTAAGTCACACAACCCAGCGGCATTAAACCCCCGAGATTTTGCAGGTCATTAAACCCCACCCTCTTCCCCATTATGGCCGTGAGATCCTGCCCGCCTGATTATGCAGGTCTCAGTCTGAGATTTTGCAGGTCATTAAACCCCACCCTCTTCTCCATTATGGCCGCGAGATCCTGCCCGCCTGATTCCTATGGTACAAAACGCACACCTTAGAATCCCAAATACCACACTCTCCTTGAATGTCGATTGATATACATCCGCTGGATGTTGCATCATAGACATGTCCCAAACTTTCAATTTGTTACGCGGAAACTAGGCAAAGTGATGAATGCTCGGAGTTTATGTTAGAGTAGATCGGCTGTGAACTGCCTTATTCCGATGGGTACTGGGATCACATGTTGTTCAGCTGTGGAATGCCTTGTTGCTATGGTACGAACACCACACACTACAGACTCCTTGGAGGCTGAGTATATAAAACATCCTCCTGATGTTGTATCATTGACATGCCCCGAACTTTGACTACCTTCCAGACAACTCAGGCAGATGACGAGTGCGCACAGTCTATGATAGAGTAGATCAACTGAAGAACGACGGAGGCATGGGTGAGGGGATGTACCAGTTGAGTGGTGGGTTTCAGGAAACTTGCACATCATTTTGTAAGTTGGTGCAACAAAACCGATTTTCCACTTGTGGCCTTTTTGCTGGTGGTTTGCAGGCAAAGCTTCAGGTTTGATGATCTGGGCAGCGAAATAGCCTCCATTGCTCTTCCTGCTCTGTTTGCTCTTGCTGCTGATCCAATTGCTTCCCTGGTGGACACTGCATACATTGGAAAGCTAGGTGAGAGAAGATCCTCCTCCTCCGCCTCCTCCTCCTTCGCAGTCTTCATGTGCTCTCACAATTTCAGCCTGGCACCTAGGTCGTGTAAGCAGTGCCATCTCCATGGATAGTGAAGATGACAATTAGCAATAAGAATGGACTGAAAAAAAAGTGGACAGAAAAGGACATGAGGAGGTAGGGTGGAGGAAATATTGGGGGAAAGGGATGAATTGGTGGGGAAGGAGGTGCAAGAGAAAGTAAGGGGAATGAAGGATCCCATGTCTTGCTTTCTCCTCTTTAGGTTTACACAAGGAACGACCAGCTGTGGCACTGCCGTAGCATAGGGAGTGGAATGGACGCGTACCCTAAGAGGAAACACAAAAGAGGAGGGAAGATAATCAATAAAGGAGAGAGAGAGAGAGAGAGAGAGAGAGAGAGAGAGAGAGAGAGAGAGAGAGAGAGAGTTATTGTCACATGTTGGAAGCAGATGACCATCTCAATAGCACAATCAGTGGGTTGTGGGTCTAGAAGTATGAATGGTGTATGTGGCAATGTGCAAGAGAGGAGACAAAATGCCTTATTCAGATGTGCGTATTGGTTAGATAATGGAGAAAGACCAGATGTGACGCTCCACTGGGCTATCCCAATGGCCCTGCGGGCGTGCACCGAAGTCAGAAATTTGACAAATCTGGACTCGTCAGCTATTCTGGCCCTATTGGCCACACCACAGAGAAACGATTGTGGCCTGTTCGTGAACCCAGATCAGTGAGTAGGTCAGGCTCAGTCTCTGCAAGTGGGATAACCTTGATTGTGAAATTAGTATATTCATCAAAAAAAAAAAAAAAAAAAAAAAAAAAAAAAAAAAAACCTACATTCATCAACTGGATTCCGCAATTTTCTACGTGTGGCCCACATTCTTTCGGTCCCCTTCCTCATTATTTCTTCCCCCAACCTCTTGCTGCAGCCCCCTTCTGAAATGTGACTTTTCCACAGAGGTAGCAATGCATGGTTTCAGAAAGGGACCTCATTGTTTGCTTCTCCAGGTGCTGCGCAGCTAGGAGCGGTGGGCATCTCCATCTCAGTGTTCAATCTCATGTCGAAGGTTTTCAATGTACCTCTTCTCAATGTGACGACCTCCTTTGTTGCTGAAGTTGAAGCAACTTCTTCAGGTATAGTGCAATATCCCCTCTTCCCTCCCACATTTTCTGCTCCCGTAGGTATAGTGCAATATCCCCTCTTCCCTCCCACATTCTCTGCTCCCGCGAGGAACTCAACCTCGTCTGCCTCTATTTTGCCAGCCATGTCTTCTTTGAAGTTCACTGCAATGGTGCACAAACAATTGTCATATATTCAACAACGCCTTTTGGGTGTCGACTCTGTCGAGTGGTTAGGATCTGGGAATGCAGACACACGAGAGTGGTGAGAGAAAATGTCGGAATGTGGAGACAAGAGAGTGATAGAAGTTTTGGTAAGAGGGACAGCCGATCAGGCCGCGATTTTGCGCTCTCTGCTTGCAACCCCTCCTCGGAACGCCATCTGGAATCCACATGTCCACAGACAGCAGTGCCGGTCTCAGCTGGGCATCAACATATGACCTGGACTACGTTCATTGCACGATTGCAGATTTTTCTTTTTTTCACCCTTGAAAGAACTACACAATGGCACATATTGTTTCACCTCCCAAGGATGACATCAAGATGTCTATGAGGGGTAGGCAGGTTGCCAAGAGCGCCACCGCTTCGAAAAAGCTTTGAACTTGGAAAAACTCGAAGCTCATGGAATATCAGACCTCAATGAAAACGAACGACAAAGATGAGCAAGTATTACCACATTCCCACGCCGGCTCGTTCAATCCACGAGAGCCAGCATTCACAATACTGACGACGACTAGCTACAGCTACAGACTGCCCATCTACAAATCCTTGAAAAGCACCGGCGGTAATGAGCAGCCAAAAAAGAAAGTCTGCTCTCTTTCAAACCCAGAGAACAAGCGACCAGCGTAGCAAATAAAAGATGCCCAACTACAGAGCAAGATGAACAACAAAGCATCAAACCCTCGTGAAAAATAAGAGGGGCACACAGCTTTCGGAACCCTTACCAAAGAGATAGGGGCGCTTAAAAGGGGTTTGGAATTGTTGACCTCGTTAGTGAGCCGATCCTACTTCCTCACATCACCCTGTCTGTTCTTCCTTCTTCCATCTCTCTTCCTGCCTGTCTGTCTCTCACCGTCTCTTGATGTCTTTCCCTCCGTCTCTCCATCTGCAAGTCTGTCAGACTGTTCCTCTGCCCGTCTGTCTGTCTGTCCATCTGCAGGTCTGGCGGACACGTTTGTCTGTTCATTTGTTTGTCTGTCCGTCCATCTCTCCATATATCTGCCTGTTTGTGCCCGCCAATCAGCAAGCCAGCGCACCAGTTCCTGCTTACCCGTCTGTCATCATCCATTCATTCATCACAATGCCCACCCCAATCAGCAAGCCAGCGCACCAGTTCGTGCTTATCCGTCTGTCATCATCCACTCATTCATCACAATGCCCACCCCCTTACCCTGCTGGCCTGTGTCCTCGTCTGCCTGCCCGTGTGCTTACCTGATGGCTGAGAGTCATAGGTAGGAGATGGGATTTGCCATACGACTGCCCATTTACCACTCAGATGAATGAGAAACAGAGCCATGGTTAGATGTTCAGGCTGGCAAAGAGAGTTTGATTTGCCACTTTGACATTGGATTTGCAATTTTGCACTCTATACCAGTGTTGCATACCCCAACGGTCGGAGACCCTTGACTGGTCGGCTGCCGACCCGCCGACCGGTCGGAGGGTCGGCACCTACCAGTCGGGGGTCGTCGGCACCCTGCAAATTTATTATTATTATTATTATTATTT